CCTTTTTTATTGTTTTAATATTTTTATATTTCCTCTTATTTACGTAAAGCAGTTGGTAATACCTTCGACAAATGTCATAAATGTATTCGCTCGTATTGACAACATTCAAAATGCCAGTACAGATTCATGAATTGTTGCAAGCGAAAGGATTATTGCGACAATCTTTTCTTCCTGGTTTTATGTTTTTACATTATGTGATTCCTTTATTAGTAAAGATATACTAATCTTGTTTTATTTAAAACGCAATGAAATTTCTATGCAACACGGGTCTATTTTATTATCTGAAATCTTGTGCCGCAAAGAGTTAAGCAGTCCCGACACAAAATGTATAACGCTGTTCATTTTAGGATCTGGAATTTTTTGATCCGGAATAGAGGATCCACAATTTTTGGTATTCGGTAACAGATCTTGTAAAAATTTGCGATAAGTATGGTACCTTTGTTCAGAGATGCTTGGCGGATCTACGTTGAGGTTAAGGAAACACTATGTTTCTGACAAGAGTCACTTAAAATATTTTACGAGACGTTTCCCTTACGAGCCTAAGTGGAGGAACTTTCTTAAGTAGAGGAGATCCATGAATGATACAGAATTGGAAGGCCTACGGTATAATTAGAGAACCTGTTGCTAGTAGACCCAAGATGCAGAGAATATTCAGAAGCCACGGGTCATCGTCCATAATCCAGACCGTGCAGAACCTCATCATATCGAAATTCTTTAAAACACCAACCTGGTCTGAATCCTAGAACTCTTTTGAACCCCTACAGTCAAAGCTACAGTCCTGATCGCATGGGTAAAATTCGAAGCACAAAATTCGTACTATAAAAACAAAACCCAACCTGAAATTAAAATCTATAATACCAATTAACTGGACAAAAATTGAAATCAAAAGTCTATTTTCCAATGGAACACTGCGAGACTCGAGCTCTCTAGCGAGGGGCCAAGATCCTGTCAATATCCCTGCGTGCCAACGCAGCGCATTTTCACCCTGTTTATCGACCACCGTTCCCTGACCCGCCCCAACAACAAAGTACTTAAAACACGGGAAGATCAAAAGTGAGCGCGGTGAAAGAGGCAAACTGGGAACAGATTAGCATCCTACGCGGACTGTGGACCACGGCATGTCACTCGAGCATGGCCTTAATGTACTCTAAATATTTTTCCAGAAAACGAGGAGAAAAGAGAAGCCCGGAAACGTTTCTCCCTCGGGGAGAGGGTGGATATAACGTACGTATAACCCGAGTGCCTGTGATGTGGCCAGCGCGAGTGTAAACACCGCCTTAACTCGCCCCGGCCGGAATCGAATTCGCGCGGAAAGGGTGAAAGCAAAGCGGAGCGGAGAGAGGTCGAGAGTCCAGTTAGCCCGAAGGATCGCGCGTACATCTTTATGCAGATACAGACACGGGCCCGGTGCTTTGTAAATTTTCAGGGCGAGCACCTCTTTAGAGGAGCACAGGGTGGGCCGGCGGTTGGGGCGGGGGCGTGGGTGGGTGGCGGTGGGTGGGATGGTCGTGGCACACGCGCTTTGCGGATTTTTCAATCACGTTCCGTACTGACAGGATTAATAAAGCGACGCGCGCTGCGCGGAGAGTTTCCAGACTCATTTCATGCAGAATCGAATTGGATTTCCAGGTCGGGGCCGGTGTGTATCTGTGTGCAACGGAGAGACCTGGTCCCTTTGATGTGCCACGCTCGGATACCGTCCGACTATCTCTGTCCGTCTCTGGCGCGAAAACGATACCACCTCGTCCAGTACTTTGTTACATCGCCACTAAATAATCGGTTTATAAAAATTCATCGCGGGTCCAGCGAAGCGGCGGGTTTAGAGCACGGTGCACAGGATGCCACGATCTCTGTGACGGATCGGAACTGGCCCCGACGAATACCGTCTTCCGGATACTTCTGATCGATCCAATAGCGATTTCAACGTCCACGAATTTTCTTACGAATATTAACTCACGATTATCGATAGAATCGGTGCAGGGTACGATGAGTAATTAGCGATTTGAACACCTTGCGAACGGAACAAGAGTACGGTTTTTGAAAAACCGTACCGTGGGGTCGATAGTCATTCAAAACTACCAGCGCTCATTTCTGCTTGACAGGTTAAACGCCACACCGATTTTACGTACCGTTCACACCACAGTTAGCCGTCATTTGGGCCCTTTCGGGCCGTACGAACCGCCGAGGCTTGAACGGGAAAGTCTAGCACCGGTTCCTAGGGTCCCTAGGGACCAGCCTGGCGTTCAACGTGTTACACACGATTTTGGTTCATAGCGACACTGGCAATAAAGACATAAAAGTCCAACACATTACGTCCACTACTTAACTTGGGACGTGCGATCCTAGAGCTGCAACAGCGGATGCATATAAGTTTACCTCGGCTATAATAACGCATTTACATGGACACATTTATGAATCCCTAGGCCCTATCAATTGTTTTCGCCGAACGCATATAAGCTGCGGTCGTCCGCAAAGGGTTGATGTCGAAGAATTGAATACGTAAGGATTAACGTGTCAGTTGCCTAGGCAAGCTCTTCCAAGAAGATCTGTAGAAACGCATCCGTCGATGCGGAGAAAGAAAGCCTATATATTGTTTCCACTCCTAGAGCCATCGATGGGCCCGAGTCAATGAGGTCCTGGTTTATGTCTTTTGACGAGCGCCCCATGACTCGTGGACACGTGGACCACCTGGAACGTTTAGGCTAGGTCCCGAAAAAATAAAATCGGTTTCACTAAAGCTTGGGACAGAGCTTCTCCAAGACAGAGTCCTCTGTACCAGCCCTAATCGCGTAATAAAGCTTGTATTAACCACTTGCGCTGAAAAGACGTGTCACGCACGTAGTAATGCTTTCGTCGCAGAATCGCCAACGACGTGGTGTACACGTCGTCAGGCAATTGTCACAGAAACACTGGACCGTTCTGGCACACACGTCTGTGAATTTCTTGTCGGCGCAAATGGTTAACACGGAATAGTGCTTTCATCCTTTAATACCTATACCTATACTATACATGTTCACTAATTTGTTAGCTGCGCTGGGGCGAAAACGCGTCGTAAAAATGCCACGTTGTACGAGAGATACCTGTACTTGGATTGGGAATAAGCGCGAAATATTTGAAACGATACGAAACGAAGTAATGCACGGTTTCAACCCTCCAAGACCTATTAACCGAAGCTAACGACCCAACCAGACGCATGCATAGACGAGAAAAAAGGAAGAATAAATAGCGGGGAACAAAAGGGAAGAAAAATGAAGGCACAAGAAAGGAAGTATAATTGGCTGCTAAATACGTTATAATTGGCAAGGGAATCGATCGAGCTGGGTCGATTTGCCAAGGAAATCCGGTGGAACCGGTTGGCAACGTCTAGCCACACTGGAAGATTGAGCCGTGCTGTACGATCGAGAAAGACGGGAATAACGGGAAAAGGTAGTCGTACACGCGTAGGGTCGAGGGTTGAAGCCAGCGGAGAGCGAAGCCAGAGGATTGGTACGTTTTTAGTGGTTGCAGCACTCGAACGTGCCAGAGCGAATATATCCTGCACGAGTGCATACACGCGCGGGTACACGCGCGCTCGCGCACTGAGTGGTTCGAATGTAACGGTGTGCGTGTGCATACGTACTCACGCACACGGCCACGGCCTTTATTCTTGCTATCTCGGTGCACGTGCAAAAGCACTGGCCGGCTCTCCGAATATTTTCCTTCTAATTTAATTTCACCAGGCCGGAGTGCAGCGTACGCATTACTTCGCACGTATCCCGGCAAGAGGGAACAGATTGAGATTGAGAAGGGGGAAGAAGCACGCACGTTGCGATATAACGATGCACGCTGGTGGCTTTTTAAAAGGCCGATTAGGGTGGTATCACGCGCTGGTATAAGGAAGCGTCATCGCAATTGATTTTTTCTCCCTCTCTTCTGTCTCCCTTTTCCTCCATTTTTATTCCGTGTTTTGCTTTCTTTAATTGTTTCTACCGACGTTTGCCATTTTTATTTCCCTTTTCTTACGTCTTTTTATTTTTCTTTCCTCTTTCACGTACGATTGCCCGCGACAGAAAGACGTAATAATTAGAGCCCACTGATTACGAGATCGTGCCAATGGTCTATATATCCCGCTCGCCCCAACACGCTCGCGCGACACTCGAGAGCACTTGAATTTTAGAGGAACTCGTGGTACGTTTATCAGACGCGCGACCCTCTACCCTCCGTCACTTCAACCACGCGAAACCATTCAGACGTACTTTACGCGAGCCGTTTCCGAAGCACCGACCCGAATCTAGGTTGTGGTTCGCGTGCAGATCGAAGAATTTATTTGGCTAACGAGATGCACTTTTTTAACCATCCGTTATTCGTGTCTTTTAAATTGACACTCTGACTGTGCGTTGGTCATATATGACCAGCCACGGTTTCTCCTGTGACGCCACGTGGTCATTGGGGACCACTAATAAAATAAACCCTCCATTGGGTAAGAATGTTGTCTTGTATCACCAATTTATTATTATTTTGCCATTATATTTGTAGGATATTTTTAGGGACATGACACAGAATTAAGAGTTGTGGAGAGTCCGTCGGTTGTCAAGATAGTCATGCGAAATAGAGTTGTCATTCGGAATACCGTAATTAGTAAGTCGAGTTACGGTCGTAGTCTCCTAGTAAAAGCCTTATCTGGGATTCGCTAGTAAACACCTCACAAAACCACCAAACCACCTTGATCCTACACTTTGAATAATAAAAATACTCCCGTGACGTCCTGAGCGAAACATTTGACTGCAACGTGACAATCAAAGGGTTAAACGGTACCACGTTTGCTTCATAATGTCCCCTAGTTTCATTCCCCTCTAATAATCTAAACAACGGCTTAATCGAGAAATTCCCTTAAATTTTAGACACGTAGGAATGCATCTGTCAATGCGAGAAAGAAAACCAACATTTTGTTTCCACTCTCAGCGATATCAAGGGTCCCGAGTCAATGGGCGCCTGGTGTATGTCTTTACCGCCAGCGCCCCATGACTCGCGGACACGTGGACACGACGTTTGGCATGAAAAGAATCCCAAAAATCCCTGAAAGAATTCGTTCGTTGACGATAAGAGAACCGTACAGACCTTTTCCAAGTATTGACACTGTGATCACCGTGCCAGCCCCCATTTCGAATAATAAAACTCGTCGAAACACGAAACAGTGCCTTCGTTCATTGACCCCTCGCGACATCCCTTCAGATATAACCTATTCGAACCACGTCAGAAAAGCTCGTGCGGATTACTAAGTTTCCTTTTCTCGTTTCAGTGTTATCCAGCAAGAACGGCGCAGCATCCTCTGACTCGAACTCGACGAAAGTCGTAGTAGACGAGGAAGACGACGAATCGTTGGCAGAGATTACGTTGGAGGAGTTCAAAGAGAGGTATAGGAGACTGATACCCTACATGACATTCTACGTAGCCAACAACTACGTGAACGGGCAGGCACAGATCCCTCAAGTCACAGCCGAGAAGGAGGCGCAAAGTAGCCCGCTGGTGAGAAAAATCCCACAACCGTTCACCAGAGTGAACAACGTGCCACGAAGAGGGAACAACAATTACCGCGCGAGCGTGCAGAACCAAGACAAGAAGTTCGTTCCATCGGTACAGTACGACCCGAGGAACGTGGGAGCTGATAGCGACTACTTCACGCCCGTGAGATACAATTCGAAGATCAATTACGACGAGTATTCGACACCGTACCAATTGTACCAGGAGCAGAAGCTAGCGTCGTATCCTGAAATAACAACGGTATCCAACCAGATCACCCATAAGGAGAACCGATTCCATGCAAACGTGAGACCATTACGACCTTACACGACAAATGGCAGAGATCAACTGCCTAGAAAACAACCGATTAAACCGATCTATGGTGCCCTGAGAGACGACTACATCCTCGATTATAATGTCAGACCGAGCAATAATATCGCCCTTAATTATCCCGTTAAGGATTTCCAGGATCATCGACAAATTCCATTGCCGGTTTATCCCAATGTATTAGAACCTATCCCAGGTGCTCAGCAACCCCCTATGCTCCCTCAGCTACCTCGAAATCCGAACGTGAACCTGCAGCAGATAGTGGAGAGTTTTCATCTGAGCGAGCGTTTGCCGGAAACATTGAACAAGGAGAACATAAACAGCAGCTTGAAGACGCTCGTCGAGATACTGAACATCCTTCACAATAAGAAGAAGGAAGAGTTCCCGCAGATCCAGGCACCGCCTCTTACACCGTTAGCGCCGGCACCTCTGCCACTCAGGGTGCCACAGAAGGCACCGAGCTACAAACTGCGACCACATAGGCCGAAGGTGATCACCGAGACGCGGTTCCCGGCTACACCGAATCCACTGTACCTGACCGACGACCCTGAACGTTACAAAGTAACGTTGTACGACGAAGAAACGAAACCCAAGCCTCCGCCACAAGCCGGTTACAACACGAACAGCTTGACCAGTAACAAGGTGGTGGAGTATTATATTCCTGTGGTGCAGGAAATTCCAATGAAACACAAAGAACAGTTCCTGCCGACGATCAGACCGCAAGCTAACGAAGGTCCCACCGACCATTCATACGCGATCACGGAGGATCTCAGTGACGACGTGTTGCAAGAGGAACGGTATCCGTTGCCACCTGTTACCACGGAGAGCCCTGTTTACACCTACACCACACCAAGCGAGGTCTCCACCCCGAAACAAACTGGCCCGCAGACGTCGCTGAAGTATGGCGCCACGCGTGGGGAGGCTAATGTAGACTACCCAGCCTATTCCAGCATACCCCGGACCAACTTCAGTTGCAAGGAACAGCGTTACAAGGGATTCTTCGGTGATCCTGACACTGGATGCCAGGTAACGTTCTTGTGATCCTTGTTTCCTTTGTTTCTCGTTTTAATTTAAATCCTCGTGGTTCTGAATGTGACTACAGGGTGTTCTAGGTCTGGACTGATCCTATTACGATGCTTCTTCGATGTGATCTATTACTCGAACTGTACAGTAACATCGTAAATACGTATTCTTCGTGAATCTTTGCAAACGTTTTAGTCGTGAACCACTGTTACACAATTACTGTTACGCTTGTTACACGATCATTGTAAATATTACTGACTCGATCGATGGTTCCTCTTATCAGGAAAAAACGTAAACACGATGTAGATGTGCTTCAACGAGTATAGTAATAGTATTCCAAGTTGTAAACTGTCACTATTCGTATTTATGTCTCGAAAATAAAGGCAGATAGAGCTGCAGTGTGTACATTTCTTGCTCAGAACGACTTTCCAAACATGTTGGAAAAGTTTGTTGGTTTAGATATAGAACACTCTGTACGAAGGATAGAAAAGGTCGATTCTATACTATTGATTTACTTTTGCGAGATATTTGTATCGTCTATCCTAATTGTCTAAAAGCTTTCGAATCTACTTCGGAATTTTGAGGAATGCTAATAACGTTGTTCTTGCAGGTATGGCATTACTGCGATCTCAACGGCGGTAAATCATCGTTTTTATGTCCGAACGGTACCATATTCAGTCAAGTGGCGCTGACGTGCGACTGGTGGTTCAACGTAAAATGCGAAACGACGACTCAATTGTACGTGTTAAACGAGCGACTGTACAAGTACATTTTGCCGATAATGCCAAAGTTTCCGGAGGACTTCACCGGCCCGGAAGTAGATCGGTATTTGGAGCTCAAGTTTAAGGAGATGGAGGCGAAACTGAAGGAGAAGAAGCTGAAGAAACAGCAGGAAGAGAAAGAGAAAGAAAAGCTGAAGAATAAGCAACAAACACAAGAGAAAGAAAACGAGTGAAAGATACATTTAAGTTGTAGTTAAATTATTGCAATTTTGCAGGTTCAAACCTAGTATGTATTTAACGTATCTTGTTGCCATTATTTGTTATAAATAGCAACGAACGATTATGGGTTGTGTGTCTTACACATCTTAGGATGTGAAGAAATTTTGTGAAACTCAAAAATGTGCAATATTTTTATTATAGGTTCGTGTGTGATTTCTTTTTTTTTTTTATATTTAGTGTATTCTATAAGGAAAATTGCGTATAAGATCTCCACATTGAGGAAATCAAATTATTTTATCACGATCGAAGTATTTAATTATTATATCGAATTTAACTATGCAAACACTTAAAGCAGCTGGAAATACGAGAAAAACATACATGGAATAACCGATTTCCCTCTAGTCATATTTGTACTGTGTAATTATTTATAACAGGATATACTTTACTATATTATAGAAAATTTTTGAATATGTCCATGCATATAGAGAGCAACAGTGGTCTCTTATCTCTTAAATATATCACGTATACAACATATTATACTTAATAACAAACAAATATAACAGTGAATTAATTTGGAAATTTCCTACTTTTGAGGAAATAGTCTATGCGTTTAAAATTATGTATCAAAACAAATTGGTTTTTCAATTTTGTATTTGTACTTTATACTCTATTGCAAATATAAAATAAAATTATTTATTTACCGTTTGATATGGATATCTTTTTTAGAATACATGCAATGCTATCTCTAAGAATTTCTTCTAATCTCAAAAAACTTTTCTACGACACAGATAAAAAATTAACTTGGACTCACCTTTTTTGACTGCCGAATCCTCTGCAAGTTCTTGCTTACACGATCAAACGTACTGTAGAAATCCAACAGCTGTTGTTCATTCTGACAAACACCAAAGTAAAAATATATTCATTTGCTTAACTGAAATAATAATAAATGATTTGCATTGGTTATAATACAAACCTTTTTAATTAATGGTTGATAATTATGTTTTTGATGTAACCGTAACATACAATGAGAACATCCAGCTATATCACAATTTTCACAGTAGTATCCCACCGATTCATTGCAACGTTCTGAACAAGTATTTCTTATAACGAAAGTATTTTCATTATCATTTTCTGTTAACATAATTTTCGAATGATTTTGCAATGCTTTTCCATGGATCTAATAAAATGAACACAAAATATCACTAGCTATCCTGAATTTATATGTAATATTGTACAACAATGCATTTATTTTTATTATTTCTTAAAGCATTTATTAAATATAACTAAAGGTATATTTTTAGAAAAAAAACAAATAATGAATAAATACAAAAATCACTATCATACTACAAACAATATACCTTGGAATAACAATTATGACAAAAGAGAGCAATACATTGTGGACACTTTATGGCTGCTTGAATTCCACATTCGTGACACAAGCCTGAAAATAAAGTACGCTTTATTTTAACTTAAAATAATTTAGAGTAATATTTTGTTCTCTGATACGATACAGACCTTCTATAGACTGTTGCTTTGATTTAATACTGACTGATTTATGAAAAGAAATATCTACATCGTCTGTATTAAGTGGTCGATTATGCGACATAACCATTAAACCCAATGTATATACATTTAAAGGTAATGAAAAATTTTGATCACTCTCACATCGTGAAATCGTGTTACACTGGGGACAAGGTTTATGAAGAAATGATTTTGTACACTTGTCACATATCACATGTCCACAACTTAATAATAAGGGAATTACACCGCGAAAAGGAACAAATTCTGAAACAAACAAGATAAACGAACTCTCTCAACATATTTCCTAATTGTATTTTGCAAATAAAAATGTTTCATACGATAAAGCAGAACGATGATCATAATGTTAACCTTATAATATTCTAACCTCTAGAATACATTTACGCTATCTATATTTGCAAAGGAAAATAATATTAAAGCGAAGAAGCTTCTTATATACCTTTCATTAAGTTACCATTGAAGAATATGCATATTTACAAAAATACATAAAAAAATATTGCAAAACAATTACTGAAACAATGCTATACAACGTTATACACAAGTATTTCATTTGTTATTTCATATATAATGTGTAAACAATCAAATAAAAGAAGTATCAGTAAATGCATTCAATGATTACCTTGAAAAAAGAACTGATGTTTACATTGTATACAAAACACGTTTCGAAGTTTTGTAGGCGGAAAGTCATAATTCTGAATATATTTGGTATTTTTTCGTTTGGTCAGCATTTTGTTCACTCTGACTTAATAATCTGTACGATCACTAATTTCAAACACGCACTATATCGAATCTACGTATCGTTTAAAGTTTATATACCGCGACACGAACACGCGAAAGCTCAAACGTAAACCATCTCACATTTGAATTCTAGCTCAGTGCCGGCACAAGATAGTGGTACCTATACACTTCAATCCTCAAGTGGTAGGGTGCAAAACACTTGTTACAGATTTGCTATATTACAGTCAAATTATTTCCGCTGGACAAAATGCGGTTAAAATGAATACTTTAATAAAACGATATATTAAATTTTATTCGATTGTACATGAATATCGTGTGTATGTTTCTACGTTACTTCCAAATACACAATTTATAAATTGCAAAGCTAATTTAAAATTTTATTCAATAAATAATAATTTTATTTTTATTATTTTGATACGAAAGTAAAATTCTATACTACTTTGATATTAAAATAAAGTTCAAATAAAAAAAAAGTTTCTACAACATTATTAACCAATTAAAATTTAAACGTAATGCAATAAGTCACAAAATTTGTATTGCTCGTTAACGAATTCAATTATGTTTGAAAAATAACCGCACCAACTGTATTTGAATTTCGTTTACAACAAATTTAAAGCTTCACTTACTTTAATCACAAATTTTGCAATTGTCAAATATTCGAATAGAAGATAAAATATAATAGTAATAACATCGAGTAGCCGTTAGAAGTAAAACAAAGTAAGAATTTGATAATTCTTCGCGATTAATACGAACACGACGACATGTTTAAAATTGAACTGCCGAAATACGTTTCAACCAGTTGTAACGAACTTCAATAGATCACGTGATCGGCATCCTAGTACAAAACCGGTGCAATTGTAGTCACGTGGTTATGAGTGCCTCACGATCCTCAAGACAGATGCCGCCGCGATCTTGAGAACTGCACAATTTGGCAAAAACATAAAAAGTCAGCTGGATAAACAGCGTAGTTATGTTGGATCCATTGGATTCTAGGCGCGGTCGCGACCAAAGATCCGTTATGATCCCACCTAGTACAAACGCTTCAGCGAGCAAGAGGATCGTAAACTTTAAACACTATATTTCAGCTACGTATTATTCTTGTAATATGGCAAATACGAATATCAATTTAGATCGTGATTATTAGATACAAATTCGATACAAAAATATTTTATACAAAATACATACATGAAAATGCTCGTATTGTTAGACGAACCGATGTTTTCAGCTATTTAAAAATGAGAATATCGAAACGAAATATGGTCGAAATGAAAATGTTTAACGTAATCGTGTGCATACGTACGTTTCTAACCACAAATATCAGAAATGTCACTCTTCACGTGTATACATATTCCTTATACTTACACATTAACGATAAATTTCAGATAAATCTGCTGCGTTTGAGAAACGCATGAAATTATCGTTAGAACATTATACCGTAGGAAACGAAACAGTCTGGTATCTTTCAACGATTGCATGATAAATATGCGATATACGTTTTAAGTGTTTCCTCAAATTTACAATTTGATTGTCCTAAATCGTTCCTTTCGCAAATTCTTTAATACAGGACTGGAAATAAATAAGAGGATTAGGCATCTTAAACATCGTACAAATTTATTATTCTAGAACATACATCGCTTACGAACCAGTAGCTAATACCATGCGTATTACAAATTTGCAACGACGGTACGTAGTTTGGACACAGCAAAACGTAACCTAGCTATCATTACCGAGACAAATTTGTACGTACAATGCAACATCGTTATATTTCAGAGATAATTGCAACGACCGACCGCAGTAAGTAAATTTATCCGAGATCCAGTCGACGATTATTCGAGTTTTCATCTTTACGTAATCGACGCGATCGCGCGCGACCCGCGTCCGCCACAAACCATGGGATAGGCGAGGCAAGAAGAAAGAGGAAGCGAGATATCGGATTTAGGCCGCCGCTCGAACAACAGTACGTATGTACAGGCGAAACGGTCTCTGGACTAGGCAAGCCGAGCGAAAGAGCTGTGGCAAGGTCTAGGCTGGCTGGCATTCAAGGTCGCGTGCACAGCGCAAAAGCCCCCGGATCTATCCCCGCTCCAGATTTCTAGCGCCCTTTGCCTCTAGCCGTCTTTGTCACTCCACCAGGTGCATATACACATTTCGCTGGGTCCTCTCTGTCCGTCTCGCTCGTTCTCTCTCATCGTCATGGCTTCTCGCTTCTCCACGACCAATCGAACCTTTTCTCGCTCCTTCCCGTAGCTCACTCCCGCTTCCACCTACTCCCCTCTTCCTGTCTTTCTCTCTGCCCCACCGCCAGTCGCCAGTCACTCCCCTCTCACGCTGCTTTGCCCTTTCCGCGTGCAACATCGATTTACCCATAAAAATTCCCCGCGCTCAACTCTATCACTCGTCTATTACTTCCTGGACGGTGTTCGGCGTCTCTCGTTCTCCCGGATTCACCGTTGTAATACGCAACAAAAGCATGATCGATCCGCGGATAATTCAGCAGCGGTAGCGCGGCTGGCGTTGCTTGAAATCGCTTATTTACATGCCTTCTCGTGCATACACGTATACGGACGAGTCACGTATACTATTGCCGCATGCGACTTGGCGGCGCGGTAAGAGGAACAAGGATGTGCTTAGCGGCGTTGCGAAGAAACGGAATCTCAGGCTCGCAGCTACGAATTATTCGAGCCTGCTTTGCCTCGTAAACTGCCATGAATAAAGTATAATAACGAGGAGCGAAGAATTATTTTCTGAAAATCGTTCTCTCCCGCTCTCGGAGCGAACAGTGCGAGGCGACAGTTGTAACATGTTCGCAGGTCAAGTTCGCTTACAAATGTCAATCGATTCCGCATGTGAATATGACGTCACTAGGATTGAATAGTAAATAGAATTATCCGAATTACTTTTGAAATGCTAACACGAGGCAAACAAGTATGAAATCTAATTGCAAATACATCAGGTAATGTTCAACGTATCATGTCTTATAATAGAGGTTATTTCTTTTATTTACACTGGTTTACTTAACCTCAAAGGTGAGAAGCGAACCGAGTAGGATGCTGCTGTGTGTTTCTTTCAGGCACGTTGCAGCTTCTGCAAGTTATTCCCGGTAAACAAAGCACCGATATATTTTACCATGACAGTACCTTCGGAAAGAAGAATTTTCGCCAGTAAGAAACACTGTAAGCCAGTTTACTCTAACCTCCGACATCCATGCCAGCTCGTTTCAATGTGGAATTATTAATCATGGAATTCTTACAGAATACCAGACGCCACTACGTAGACGTCGTCATTATTCACCAAGAATCCGATCCATCCTACCGTTTCGAATATTCTCGTTCTTGACACTGTAATTGCGATATTCGAACTCGATTCTACATCGAATTCGGTTGACCTAGATTAGGCACTAGGCGAAGTGGAGATTCGCAGGCCGTTCCCCGTTTCCTTGCACGCGTGCTGCGGGGAAAAGAAACGGATATACACGGACGCACGTTTTACATCGGCGAAACGAGTCCTGTAATACGTGGAGCGCGCGTTAGCGTGGCAAAAATGCGAGGTGAAACGAGGTTCGCGAGTAGGCTAATATGGAAGCTGCGCGAGCAGCGAATTCCTTGTCGCAGGAGTCGTAGCTGCAAGGCGAGGGAGAGAGATAGACGAGACGGTAGAAAGCAAGAGAGATGGCAGGAAGGAGAGTGAAATAGTGGAATAGTCCGGGCTACGAAAAAGAGATGAATGAATAATTTTGAAGTAGTGAACAGGCGGAAAGCCATCGATTGAAATTTTCATCATGCTTTCGCACGCGCATGTTCGCCCGATTATTTATTCACGGAACAACGAACGGACAAGCAGACGTCGGGCTGGCGAGCAAACGAACGAACGCTGCGTAGTTGGACGATGGAAAAATATAAAGAGGCGAGAAGGAAAGAGCGACGTCTGAAACGGTTTTTAGACGTTATGGAAAGTTTCAGCCGAGGTGTGTATACGCGGCTGAAAGGTTCGAGTTAATCCTGCCACGTGTACCATTCCTTCGAATGGAACGTTCTCAAACCTGGCGAAGATAGCTCGAGGTACAGCTAATTTCATATCGAGCGCTCAAGCGACGAATTTAAAGGAACACGTGGTCGCGTTATTATTAGGTGTCTGCATCGGTATAAAGCGTAGCCAGTGGTTTCTAGTGAATTTCAGGCTGACATTCAGGCGTTTTGTGTTTTAATATTGCGGCGTTCACGTTCGCGTCAGCGTGCACCCACGCTTTAAATTCATTTCACGAAGTGCAGCAGCGTCGGGTTTGAAAAAGGGCGACGCACATGTCGTTCTCGACGTTTCCAACGGCCCGGTCGCATTACACAAGCGCGTAGAATTACAATATCGGATTTCATTTTCCGTCATAGGACCGGAGATTTCTCGGAGAAAGAGCCGGCGGAATGCTTCCGAGTGAAATTCGCCGCGCGGTGAACGGTTTTGCGCGATCACCGCTTCTCTTGCCCTCCTTTGGAACAAGTATATTCTATACTAAGAGCGGAGCAGCCAGCTAGGATGCTAGGCGTTTCCTTTGAGCGCGATATAGCTCGCTCGAAAATGCTTTCAACACCCGGAGCGACAATGTATCGTCGCGAGAAGAGAGCATGACACGTTTATCAAACCCGATGGTCCCTTGCAGTAGCAACTGGCTTCGCAAACAATGAGCTACCCGTCTTTATTACGACCATCGGTGTAACTGGATTTTTCTCCCCGGCCAGACCCAACGTTGCCACAGAGGCTGCAACGTAACATTGTACAACGCGTATTCCATGGACATCCTGGCAGCTCGTTCTTTGCTCTGTCACGCGATCGATCAATTATACGTTCATTATACATTCGCAAGGAAGAGAATTCTGCCAGGCAATGATATTCATGTAATTCAAGACGTCGCTCGGCTATACCCGTTTTCCTTGCAGCCTGTAAAAAGGGAAGCATTATCAACTCGCTGACAGTTCTCTTCGCACCAAGACCGATAAGG